AGGTTATGCTATTATACAACCCTATCATGGTAGTGAGGTTATGCTATTATACAACCCTATCAAGGTAGTGAGGTTATGCTATTATACAACCCTATCAAGGTAGTGAGGTTATGCTATTATACATCCCTATCAAGGTAGTGAGGTTATGCTATTATACAATCCTATCATGGTAGTGAGGTTATGCTATTATACAACCCTATCAAGGTAGTGAGGTTATGCTATTATACAACCCTATCATGGTAGTGAGGTTATGCTATTATACAACCCTATCATGGGAGTGGGGTCAAGTTCTGATACATCTGATACATCTCTATCATGGATACCTTTGTAGGTGAAAGTCGGGTCTGCACTCTGTCCAGTTAACTAGATTCTCTCTGTGGATTATTTTCCCAAGGACTTGAGTTGGACTCCACGTCTCCCACAAAGGGTGTAATGTAAACATATCCATGTACCCTTGGGTGGCATACTACCGCTGTAGAAACCATTTCAATGCTGCTTCTCCAATATTCAATTGACACACCTATGCTATCTGTAGTGACAGTCCGATGTCATCTGTACCTCCAGGATCACTGAAATGGTATTATTACTTCTCCGAACTGTCGCCTTGATCGGTTATGCATTAATTCCGTCGATGTTTTTGTTCCGCCATAACAATCACGTAATGTTCTACGCATGCTTTGTCAGATGTTACATGTCACATATGTTTCATGTTTCTATCAAAGGAAAGCAGTAATATTTTGTAAAAGAAACATGAGATATGTCTTAACTAATCTTGGCACATAGATAGGCCTAGTGGTAAACTGGTGCCTTTTGATAGTTTTGGGATTTAAAAACAACAACATTTTTCCCTAGTTTCCGTTGCCACAACTTTGACTTCGGCTGAAAATCCGGCTTGTTTCCGGAGCAGATCTTGAAAACCGTACGATATGTCTTCACCAAACTTGGCACATACTTAGGTCTAGTAGTAATCCGGTGTCTTTTGATATTTTGGGATTTTAAAAAATAATACTTTTCGAAAATGGCTGCAGTGCTCGTTTTTGGAGCAGATCTTGAACACCGTATAATATTTCTTCACCAAACGTGGCACCTAGATATGTCTAGCAATGAACCGTTGCCTGTTGATAGTTTGTGTTTTTTTAAGCATGTTTCCTTGACAAGAAACTGGTTCAGATTTGTGGAACATTCGTTGTCTAGGGCATAAACATTCTACAAATAATTCTATGCAGGGTTGTCTGAGAACCGTTACCATAATTACCTTTATTAGATTAGATCTATACCACTTGTAAATGAACTTGGACAAGGTATGTGGTGAATTATTGTGAAAACACAAAACACAATTTATAAGTGGCACCCGAACCAGCCTACTGCCTCGCAGTGGGTCCGGAAATCATAGTTCACAGAAACTAATGCCTTGCACACAACAAGACGTGCCAATAGTATTTCATGCTTGTTAAAAAACAAAATGTCTGAAGAGTTACCTCCCTTCCGCTATTCTGACGATAACTAACTTTTGTGTTTGTGACAACGTAGTCGTGAGCACTACTTGAATGAGGTAGCATTTAACTGTTTCGCGATTTAACAGGAATGCAGCTACCTTGCAATGCAGAGAGGTGAACTTGCCAGTCGAGTGACTTCCCTTGGATAAGCACACATGGGTTGTCATAATGTCAGTCATTGAGAGAAGGTTATGCTAGTTTGACAGATTGAAGGTTTTAAGGTTGTGGTCCTCATTAAGCGTCTTGCATCAGAACTCAAGGCCACTGAATGTGTCGGTTGTTAAGAGAATTAAAATAGTGATGTGACACTTCTCACTGCAAAGCAGTGTATTTTCCATGGAGTACATCACTAAGGTAAGCTTGGACTAAATTTATCCTAGTTCATCCTCACCCGTGAATGCATTTCTTTTTTATTTCATAAGTGAGTGAGTAAGTGAATATTGTCAGCAATGATTCAGCTCCCTCTATAAAACGAGAACCTGTAAATAATTATTTCTACACCAAGCAAAGGTCACACTGACAATTTAAAACCGATCGAGGTGATTTAAATATTAGGACAGTCATCAGCAATACTTGAATGAGGAAGAATTTTGCTATTTCACAGTAAACAGTAATTCACCTACTTTGCAATGAAGAGAGGTAAACTTGTCAGTGGGTTGACTTCCCTTGGATAAGCGTACATGGGTTCGATATTCTGTTAGTCATTGAGTGAGAAAACACTCTAGAGTTTGACCGAGCAAGTTTAGCCACTGGAGGGATAGGCTGGCAAGGCGATAAAGTACAAGAGAGTATCCATTTGTTGAGCTTGTTCTGTGAAATTGATATTTTTCTTAATCGTTATTGAGCTAGTGATTGAGAGATGCTGTGTATGATTCAGCTCGCAGTTTGACATGAGAGCCTGTAAATTATAATTTCTGTACTGAGCAAATGTGAGACTGAAAAAAATAAAACGAAACACACGATTTCGATTAAAGGACAGTGGAATCAAATGATCTGACCACGATATCATCGTTTATATTGGCACCAGATACAGATACCTGTTTCTGAAGATGAATCTCAATGGGTTAAGATCTGACGTCAATAAGTAACTTGCATACATGTTATTACCAATATAACCAATGCCATAGGCAGAAATACACCCAACACCGTCCATGTTTGTTTAACACGAGTTAAAGGAGTGTACTATTATTGATAACACCATTTTGTAAATGTGAGAGCCACTAATTAATAATTTTGGCAACATTTTGTGTTTGTATCAAACTATAAGTGCATCTCTTAATGAACTTTTATTATTTTGGACACTTATCTTATGTCACTCTGTGCACCGACATTCTGATTTCAATTCATACTTGGAAAACATTAGCTGCTGTTTTGATAGCTATTTAGCTGGACAAACCTGTGCGATGAATACATTAAAACGGAAAGTAAGTGAAGTTGGTTAATGCTGTGGCAAACAATATTTCAGCTATATTTAACCTGTAAAACAATCAAGCAAAACCAGTGATTGGTATCAGAAAATGAGTATTGTTTTTCTAGCAAAAGTCATAGTTTAAATATACATATATCTTATTGTCAATTGGTTCCAGCTTATGCTTATTTTTCGACTGATTCTTACCTTGTTATTTTATGCCGTCAGAACATTGCAACAATATTGTGGTAAGGTAATGTAATTACAGGAATAAACCCCAGTTCAGTTTAAATTAGAGTACGATGATAGCTATCAAGGCTACCCATCACAGAAGAGCATAGAAACCTGACGAGGAAGAACACAGCTTTGTAGATATGTTTCGCAGCAATTTGTGTGGACAAACAAGTTAGTTTCGTTGACTAACGTTGACATCTGTCATGACTTCGAATCCAAGATTCTTGTGAAAAATACCCATGCTACTGGACCTCATGACAATTCTAAATGTCTTTGAACTGAACAGTTTGTATTGTCTGTTCATGAGCTGACTGTATGTTGTCCCTCACAAAACTGGAGCATGGTCCCTGTGTATCTATGGTAACCATTTATTGCTAGATTGATACACACCCGTATTTTGAGTTAGCAGTTTTTTTGTATAACATTAATTATACTTTCTATACCTGTCATTTGACCGAGACTTACCTCTTTTTTTGTCAACACGCCTGAATTCGAAGTATGTATTTCTTTCTGATATATATATATTCTTTTTTTCAATCCAGATGACTTAAATCAGGTAGTCAGCGTACAATCTATTCAGCCTGTCTCAATTATTAACAACTCAACCTCTATACATTATTGCACTTCACTCTTATGTATGTGTAAATAGTTTAAATATTTCAGCCAAGTAGGGATAAAACGTGGCTTTGCAACAATTTAATCATACTTGGGTACTGTTTTGGTTCCTATTCAAGTGTACACTGATCACGATCCACTGAGTTTTCTTCATGAAATGTGCTGAATATAAATTATTATCACCTCTGAATTTTTAAATTTGATACTTACCACTGTAAGACTGCTCTATTGTGTACTGCAGTAATTGTAAACCTAATTAATTTTGTAATACATGTTGTGTTTCACGCTTTTTCAAGTTGTTTTATGTGCAGATTTCTGGATTAATATATTGTTTCAATTTGGGAATTGACTCGTAACAATAAAGCTACTAATAATGCTCTATGTGATATGATTAATATATTACACAAGATTGGGATGTTTTTGAGAGGTGTAAATAATATTTGATTTATTGTGTCAATGTGACAGGTTTCATGATGACACCTAACAACACAGTCGCGGTCCTGACTCTACTCTTACTGACACAGCCACTCTGCGGTTAGTCCTACACATCTTTAGAGATCATTTGACGATTATGATGAGTGATATATGACACTCAATAGAAATTAAAGAAAACACGATATTTCCAAATGACACAGTTCGTCTGTCATGGTTGAAGGGTATTGCGATACACAGTCTTCCAGTTGGTGTTATGCTTTAACTTATTTTGAGTATGATATATTTTTCGACGAATATTGTTATTAATGTACTTAAGAAATTAATTTCACACTGTGGGGGATAACTGAAGTATGAACGATTTGAAGCGTCCCAAATCTTAACTTTCACGGTTTAAAGCGTTCATACTCAAGTAAACCACCACAATGTAAAATTCATTTCTTATAAATTCGTATTTTGTAGTTTTACTGCTGAGCACATTTTAGATGATTTACGTTACCCGTTACAGTAAAATGCAGTGATCCACTTCACCCTTACGCAAAATTATTACAATTCCGTGAGAGTAAATGATATCTTGAAAATAAGAATTTTCATACAGATATTATTTTAAAATAACTCATTTGAGTATGTATGTATAACAAACGAATCAATCGGTATTCAAGCCTTGTTTCAATTACTTTCTTTACAGTTTCCACAGGATTCATCTGCCCAAATTTCAGCTATCTGGACTCGTTTGTACAGTTGATCTGTACTGGGGGGAGTATTTCACACAAGTATATCAACCCCAGAGGTGTAGATTTTGCAATATATGTCCACTGATAAAAGATAGGCCATGTACACCTGCAAACGCGTCGGCGTCTGTCATCAATAGCACGCAGACTGTCTTCAACGTTACGGCTGTAACAACAACAGATGCGGGAACATGGTCATGTGACTTTGGAGTTAATGAAGTTGAGACATGTAACTTGACAGTTGCAAGTAAGTATATATTCAAAACTCACATGTAATGATCGTGTATGCTATATACTATCTTACTGTTACAACAGAAAAAAGGTACAAGGTCAACTAATGTCCATTATGGTTTATGTGTTGTGAATGTTGAATCTCCTAAGTATCCATAAGCATTCATAATTTACAAAATGGTCGTTTGGTAGGCAGAGGAATCTGCAGACAAAGCTAGTTAGGAATAACATTGTCTTTCTAAAGTATTAGGGTATTTGTCGGGTTTAAAGAGTGAAATATGTTGATAGTTTCACTGTTTTTGCTGCTGAAATGAGAGTCCAAAACTGTGTACTTACACACATTTTCAAAACTGATTGAAGCATCTGAAAAGTGTTTTTTAATGTTCAATACTGGGACTTATAGACATCAGTAGAATGACAAATAATGTTGTCTTAGCTAAGTCTGAAGTCGAAGTGATTCTGTGTCTGCTTCTTGTGGTAACACAGACTTGCCCTGGATATCCATGGAATCAAAGAATGGACATTGTCCCGTACCTATATCACTCCAAGCGCAACAACGCGAAAACATTTATAACATTGTCGTGTTGTCACATTTTCATACTTGGATTTGATTTGATTTTTTTCGCATTGTCGCCACATCTAAAATGTATGAAGAAAGGCATTATCGTGATGTGATCCTGTGTCCAACACCATACACAAGCATCACGCTGGGCTTTCCTCCCACGTCATGAAATAATTGCAACACTGAAAAATAGTTAGACAAAACTTTCTCAGGCATTCAATTCGATTTGCATGGGGTCGAATCTGTGATTTGCCCAGATTATTTTCAATGGATTGTCAGCATGTGGTAAAGTGGTAAAGTCTGAGACCCCCTCCTGACTTTTAAAACGCGAAATAGACTGAGTTGGATGTTACATCACAAACAGACAAACTTAAGTGAGGTATTTGGTTTTAACATAGATAGTTTTTGGATCTGGTCACATTTCTGCAAACGCATATACATCAAGGCGATCATTCAGTTAATTTGACCTGAAAACTGTCAAAGCCATAAAATCAGTTGTCATTTTCTGTTTGAATGATGATTTTCTGTTTTTATCTCAAGATATTTCGATGAAACCTTTCCCTTTTCAAATTGTCCGTTTTCATTTTTTCGAATGGTGTTGTATATCATTCCTGTATTTACTGATTCAGAGACACCAACATGCAGCATCACCAGTAAGGAGGACACTGATGTACTTGCCCAGTAGCAGGAGCTGACACTCACAGTGGACATACAAGACTACTACTGTTCCACAGCCCTCACCTTCTCACTCCAGACCGGGAATGTGACAACACTGCTGATGGAAGCTGACTCTGTATCAAGTGTTAATCACAACACTTATTCAGTAACCCTGAATGTGACGGACTCCCACCTGGGGGTTGTAAGACTGATGTTTTGCTGTGACAACAGTCAATGGAAGCTTACTTGCAATGGTGTGACTGATCTTGGTGAGTTTCACGTTATATCAAAGAAGCATTTACAAGGCTTGACGGATATGAGTTATCACAACACGCAAATATTCGATTCAACTGTATAAACGGAATAAACTCGTTTCCAAATGTACCCCTTGCTTCTAGCAGTTCCAAAGACCCCGACATGCAACATCACCAGTGACAAGGACACAGAGACGCTGACCCTGTATGAGGACGTGACACTTACAGTGGACATTGCTGCCTACTACGACATACGAGGTTCCTACTGTTCTGTAGATTCAAACTTCACACTACAGACCGGGGATGTCACACAATTACTGAATGTTGCTGGAACCGGGGCTGATCATGATCTTTCACCAATAACGTTTAATGTGACTAAAATACACTTGAGTGGTGTAAGGCTTATATTCAACTGTCATCACAAACACTGGAATCTCACCTGCGATGGTGTAACAGAACTCAATAAAAGTGAGTCGTTTAGTAATTGTCGAGTGGATATAAGTAACACCACATGCATATATTGTGTATTGCTAGGTCCATTGCCATGAAATGATGATTCTTGGTCCGAATACCCATAGACTGCCCAAAACTATATCAATTCGTTTGTCCGAAGTGGCAAACGCCTTAAATGTGCATGTCCTAACCTGAATTATTGATTTAAATATAGTGAATAAGTTGGATTTGAAAATTTTATTATCATACATGGAATATATTTCGTTGAAGACATGGAGGGGTTTGTCAGTTTCCATGTTGGTGTTCCGGTACCCACTACCATGTATGTGTATTGGCATTTTGTTAATGTATTTATGTGTATCAGTAGCACAGAAATAACGTGTGAAGTATTTATCACAACACAGGGGTTGTAGGTCTGATATTTAGCTGTCACGATACGCTGTTGAATCAAACTTGTGATGGAGTGACTGAACGCAGCAGTGGGTCTTAAGGTTATTTAAAAAAGAAGCAAATAACATATTAGCAGGTGGTACAGGTCAACACGACGAGTACAGTTACAGCGTAATGCCTTGTCACTGTACTTGTCAGTCGAGTGGTACAATTCTTGCTGGTCGCAGTGATTCGTGCATGAAACAGATGGAATTCAAGATTTCGTATCAGTTTCTTTCGTGTTGCACCGATGTGCTTTAGCAGTTGTACAGCTGCAACACGTTCCATTTACCAACAAAGCATTGCAACGATACGATTGTGAAAGTAATGTCATAATGTGTCAACACATAATCCTTTTTCTGGAATAAATAGGAATATGGCTAGTTGTTTAAACGTCATTCAAGCTTATCTCACTCACATGATAACAGTTTACGCAGTTTATGCTTTTACCTATCAAAAAGACACATATGATTCATAATCTTGCAGAAACGAAAACCATTAGTTCACAAGGGAGCGATGGAGAAGACCCTCTAATTACAGTTGCAGGAGCTGTTAGTGCGATCGTGTTTCTCTACATGATCGTCATCACAATCGCCATTGTCGTGAAAAGACACCAGGTAATACCACAATCGTATATAACTATATAACTGTATCTAACTGTAGGAGAACACGAAAGTACCGCTGATGCTACCGTGGAGGTAAATGATGTGGCATCTGTTCCAAATGGATCTAAGAACATAACTGTCTGTAGTAACTGAAGGTTGGCTTCACTGAAAGAAAAATATACTGATTTAAAACATGTATAGGAGACAAAACATAATTCGAACACAAATGTATGTATAGTATATCAAAGTCGAGAAGCTAAACTAGTTTATCAGTGCATGTGCTATGTTTTGTTTTGTCGTTGGCTAAAACAGATGACAAGATCAGCAGACACCCCTACACACGATGACTTGGTTGTAACTGTGTCACAAGGAATACAGAAGGTAGCAGTCGTATATCCCCCTTCTGGCGAAACTGTGCACCAGTCTGAGGACAATGTTGTAGTCGGCTCGGGAGGATCTGCTTCTGGTAATGATGAACAAGGACCCGGACTGCGTATTAATCCTGCTTACGTCCCTACTACTGTAGGTGACAGAATTGTCACAACAGGGTCAGGTGTGATGGGTAGGTCTACTTTAACATGACTCTAGTGTGACAGGGTTATTATGCAAAGGCATATTCCTACCCAAAGAAGCCGCCCATATCAATATTCCAGCTGTATGACGTTTATAAATAATCGATTATTGACACAACAGTGATTGAGATCGTGAGGACAGATCTACATAATTACACGCAGTCATGGAGCCTGACCACCCACCTTATAATCATCTCGACTGTCGGCACCAATTCCAACTCTACTTTACATTATGCTATAATATTTATATTGTGTTAATTCCTTTCAAGTAGTAGGTCATTCTCAGTTCAAATTTCGATAAAACAACACATTGTCCAAAAGTTGTCCAAAGGTATGGTAAAATGCTATTGTTGACATTTGTTTCAGGTGGCGATAACCTACAACCTGAAACGAGAGGAGAATACGTTGGCCTTGATAGAACAGCTGTCCAGCCTTCAAACATTTATGAACAACTGAGGACATATGAACAGATTCCCAACATGTGAAGTGCTTACAAAGAAGCGGTTGTCTACATACTACACTTTTTTTACACATATGAAAAGTCTCTCACCGTGTAGGATCTACGAAACACAAAGGCAACGGTTATAATACATGCCCTTTGTATGGGATACATAACCAAAATTAAAATACAAATCAATTAAATTTAGCACATCAGATTCATTTTGTAATTTACAATTAACACTCAGTAAACATTGTATGTCTTTTCACAAGGGCGATTACGGTCTCATGATCCGCCCTCATCTCAAACAATATACCATATCCCCCTGACGTTTATAGAGTATTGATACATTGATACTTTAACATAGCGCTATGTCGTCTTGGTGTGAAGGAATAACTCATACTGCAGTATGTAAATCACAACAACAAGGTTCGTTACATTAAAACGCTATCACAGTAAATGACCATGCTCAGGGCAAATAATCTTTATTTAGGCAGGTTCTTTACTTTACCCAGGTGACAGCTTCGGTGACAGACAGTTCCTGGTGGAATTCCATGATCGTTCTTATTATTTCAATGTTACAAACATCTGAAAGTATTTGGTATTAACACAAAATTGGTTGGATGATAACTTCTTTCCTTAAACAGTTGCAGTGTTTCAGTGCAGATACTGGAACCTTTACCAACTATGTGTATCTGCACCAAAACTTCCCATTAGGATTTAAAAAAATGTTTATCCAATACTGGCTCCCACGGGATATATTGTTGCGTGAGATCAATCTACATACTGATTGGTCAGAACTTAGGGACTACTTTCATCGCCCTAAAGGTTGACACAGATGGCTGACATATCATCAAAGTGTTTTGCAAAGGTGATAACGTTTCGGTGGATGACCATGGTCAGGCAAGTATTATTCGATAAAAAGGTAATGACACTTACCCGTGTACAATTGATAGCATTGACTAAAACGCACATCTTGATGAAAGTAGGTGGCAATTATAAAAGTCAAGGACAACCTTCAGGGATGATTACGTCACCACAGACGCCAGAACGACCTTCATATTTAACGTTAAACATTCAGATGCTTGTGACTTTATATGGATACAAGATTACAAAAACACCACAGCAAAAAACCACAAGCACAATGACTGGCATGAGAACCCTTCCAACATCATGCATATTTATGGTCACAAACAACTTGCTTTGCAATTTTGTGAGGCATTTCCAGTCAGTATGATTCCCTTGTTGTTACGCTTTGGTCATTCCGGATGTAAACAAAGTCCCTGCACGGCTGAATCTGGTTCAAGTCTACCGATATCGGGCTATATTGCGAGAGTGATCATGACCTGTCCTCGGTACCCATACCTGCCTTGTCAGCTGGTGGATTGAGTTTTGTCAAACGTTTTCATTTTTCTGTTTTTTGACCTAGTCACATTTGTGCTGGGTCTACAAACGCTAAATGTCCATCATTAGCAATGACACTGACTCTGACTTTCATTATACGTGGCATGAGCATGAAGTTGAATTGTACTGCTATTGTTTAACTTGAAATCCGAATTTCTTAATAACATCTATAACTGATATATTTCTGACAGTTCTGTGTATTGATGTTTGGACTAATTCTTGCTGTTGAAAGTATACGAACTTACAGCAGATATGAGTTATTGTTAACCCTTTCACAGGTCATGTATTTAAAAGCCAAACACTAACATTAAAATGGTTGATCATCAAGTAAAGTTTTTTTTGTTCTTTAATGACTAAACACATGTACACTAATGAGTGATCAAATCTCAGCCTCGACTGTTGATATATTTCAGGCAAGAGGGTGACACTCTCTACAACCCACTCTGCTATTAAATATCTAATTGGTGTATTATGTCATTAAATATTCACAGTTTATGTAACAATCTTGGGCACAGGTTAATAGAAAAATAATTTACACATGTCTGCATTCTTTTCTGTCATCCTTTTTGTGCAACTAGAAGGTTCTAGTGAGTCAAACCTGTAGTATAGTGAGGAAAGCTGAAACATAGTGTGAGAAAGATGTAGTAAAAGTTGTGTTAAAATATATGAAAGCTGTAGTGTGGCGATTGAAAACTAGGTTAACCAGTAAATACTGAAGTATAGTGGGTTACAGTTGTAGGAACCTTTAGTGAGAGAAACATGTACTGAAGTGAGTGAAGCATCCTGCATAGTCGAAAATAGCTGTAAAATAGTACGTATATGTATCATGTAATGTTATTACCAATTAGTATCAATCATAAGGCAAAGTGGCAACACTAACCATACATCCGCTTACTAATGCCTTACAATTAATTCCATTGTTGGGTGGACTAAGTATGCTTATGTGTGGCCGTCACAGAGAAGTTGGGATATAGTTACTTTGTTGTTACGGATCTGTTTAATGTGAACATTCTACACTTACCTTCCTCTATAGTGACTATACAGTAAGTGGATGGAGAGAGGGATGCCCGGTCGTATACTACGTCTACTGGGCTTGTCAGAATCCTCCATCCTGTGACTTGCTGATGATACAACTTTGAATTATAACTTAATCTCTCACTCACTCAGGTTTATTGATGAACATTCAATAAAGGACAAATAGCCAATCATACAAATAGCCCATCATACAACTCTTGTGCTGTAGTAGTTTGATCAGTGTTACAATATGCAGGGCCAAGTACAGTTTTCAGAAACGTTCGTGTTGGAGGATATTTCCCATTCTGACGTATCAGCAACGAAACATAGTTGTAAACACATGCTGAAGATATAGTAAGAGTGAGTGAGCGAGTTGGGTTTAACGCCGCTTTTAACAGTGTTCCAGTAATATCCCGGTGTGTCAGCTTTATGTGGGAGGAAAGCCCGAAGTGATGATGGTCTCAAATGTTCACCACTTCGGCGAAACCCACGAGCATTGGTATGGTGCTCACAAACCGAGAAACATAATCGGAACGGACCGGGATTCGAACACACACTCATAGGTTTTTGGGGTGCCAAAGGGGCCCAACTATGCCAAGTGAATCGCGGCGCCTTAGACGTCTCGGCCCCACCCATACCCCCGTGTAGTCCCCATATATTTATGTGTATATATAATTTTCAAAAAAATAAACTTGACATAGATGTAAAACCACTTTTGGCCAAATATCTAAAATAATTACATCAAATGAGAACCAAATAAGTCAAAAAGAAAGATAATGTGTCTAAAACTCGCGAAAACACATGCAAAGCACATAAACGTAGCGTTTGGGGATCAATTGTACAGCTTCATCCAAACGCAACCTCCTTTAGACATGTAGACCCCCTGCTGAATAGGTATAAAAATCCACATCAACGGCTGTCATTGTTCATACAGTCCTAATAACGGCAGTAGAGGCAGTGACAGAATGCCATGCAGCTCAACGGAACAACGCCGTTAGGAGATTACAAGCTGGAGCAAATCAGCAAGAAGTGGCCAGGCACTTTGGCGTATCCAGACAGACAATCTCCGCACTGTGGTCCCTATACAACAACACCAACAGAGTTGACGACAGACCAAGTTCAGGAAGACCAAGGATGAAAACCCAAGCACAAGATCGATACATCCGGCTGCGACATCTCCGAGACCGAAATACCACAGCCACGTCTACAACCACACAGATCACTGGGGTACGCAGAATATCAGGTCCAACAGTACACAACAGACTGAGGGAGGCTGGACTTTGTGCACGAAGACCTGTTCGACATCATGTGTTGACCCCACGTCATCTGGCGGACCTTCTGCTTTGGTGCCAACAGAGGGTTAGATCGGCACGTGCAAGGTGGAGAAATGTACTGTTTACTGACGAGTCCCGTTTCCTACTCGCACGTGCTGGTGGGCGCGCACGTGTCTACAGACGTCGGGGTGACCGTTACGCCCCCAACAGTGTGCAGCAGGTTGTCCCATTTGGCGGCGGGAGTGTCATGGAATGGGCCGGAATTCATCACGGTGGTAGGACGCCTCTCGTGCATGCGACAGGTGCATTGACAGGTGTGCGTTACAGAGACTTGATCCTACAGCCTTACGTTCTGCCTCACGTCAACGTTCATGGCGGACAGTTACAGCAGGACAACGATCGACCGCATATTGCACGTGTTTGTCAGGACTTCTTACAGCACAACAACATCCATATATTACCTTGGCCAGCCCGGCCACCAGATTTGTCCACGATTGAGCAACTGTGGGACGAGTTGGATCGACGCGTTCGCAGAAGGAATCTACCACCCAAAACACTTCCAGCGCTTCTTGGTGCACTTCAGCATGAATGGCAGCACATCCAACAGCGTGTTATTGACAACTTGATTGCATCTATGGGTCGTCGGTGTCAAGCGGTGATTGAAGCACGTGGTGGGCACAACCAATACGGACATTTTCTGTACCCCTGTGACATTAACTGTACCGTGTACGTATGTCTGTCTAGGTGACATGATTAATGTTTTCAAGATTGTGTACATTGATCTTCAAACAGTGTTTCAATTATGGTTTCTGTGTCCCATTTTGAAACAGTCGCATTATATTACATTTCGAAAGTCAGTGTCAAGTTGTTGTTTTTTTAAGAGTATATATATAAAGTTTCAAAGTTACTACCCTATGCAAACATTTAAGCATTTTCACTTTCATGAATGTTTCCGACTATGATAAGTATTAATGATTATAAATAAAAGGGAACCTTCCCACGAGAGCGACATTTCGACTTTTGAAACAACACTGCGGCTTCCTTTGAGGGTTTAATGTTTTGATAGCAACAACATTTGTAGAGTATTCTCATGCCTGTACCATCATTTTAGAATAAACTTTGTACATGCCTTCAATATATGGCAATCGCCAAAAGCATGCATCTGTTTTAATTTTGAGCCACTCTACGTGTATGCATATTGTTCCCTCCACAGAAAACATTGACATATAGAAAGAGTACCGCTATGCGGTGTCAAGCAACAAACTCAGGAAGTGCTTACCCTTATACCTTTATTAACGAAGGATATATGGTGTTTAAAAGCAACTTCCCGAAACACATACCAACAACATCTCCTTGCACAAAACACTTATCATCCAAACAACCAGTGGAAGAAGGGGACATGACAGGAGACTACGGACATTCAAGTTGATACTCTATGAGGTTATAGAAAATAGTTATCACCTCCTGATGGACACTACATCTATATTTTTGCAATGTTCCCGCAATGATACGTAGTTATTATTCACTGACAGGGAATTTGATGAGGACTATGCTGTCATTGTAAACACACCATGGTTGAGGTTAAGGTCACCCTGTGTGAATGGAATTGGAGTGATCACCGTCAGTATTACATTTGTCCACCATTGACTTCAAAACACGCATCACATTCAAGACGAATACGCAATGAGAGACGTGTTGCAGTTGATTTATTAACTTCTTATGCCTTGACGAATAATTTGAACTGTTTTCATGAGATCATGCTGCACGTGTATTTCCAATTCTTGCGATAAAAAGTAATTTCACCCAAATTTCAGTAAACTTTAGCAAGATTAGTATTGCATGATTTAGCATTATCTCTTCATTGTATTTAGACTGAAATTATATTATTTGCGTACAAGATATACTGATCAAATCAGTCTTAAACGTACCCCTTCTGGAGAATAAACTCCTTTTTTGTAGATGTCAATATCCTTCACACCTTATGTGAATATTATTTTATCTCATGTATTATTTGTTAGGACGATTGTTCTAGTATTCTGTAATGTTGGCCTTTAAATACGTTATCTCAAACATCAACGGAATTACTCTGTCTCACAGTATTGCAAAATTAATACTTGTCCTCCAGATTATGTACAAAGTACATTGAGGCCTTTCAAAGAATAATTACCCAAGTAAAATCAATGAAAACATGTCAGTAAGATAGTGTTTAAACGTTTCCGTGCAGTGGTGCATAACGTGTGATAAGAATCAGTGTGGCTTCGAGTATTACGTGATATTAAACGTTAAACCACCCAGCCCTACCATTTTAAAGGATGATAAGGTTGTGACATTTTATGAGTATTTTGTGATTGGTCGAATTTACCTTTATACCCTAAGTCAATATTCCCCTTCAAATAACGCGTAGTTTCAATGAATACATCACACGTCGCATCAGATTGGCTTTGTTGATTTATGTATGATGTTCTGATGAATTACCTCCCTTCCACTATGCTGATAATTACTAACTTTTCATGTTTGTCGAAACGCAGTCGTGAGCATTACTTGAATGAGGAAGTATTTGACTATTTCAAAGTCTAGTTTTAGCAATGCAGATAGGTGAACTGGTCAGTCGAGTGACTTCCATTGGATAAGCGTACATGGGTTGTACATCCTGTCAGTCATTGAGGGAGAAAACACTGTTGAGTTTGACAGATTCAAGGTTGTATTCATAAAGAGTGTGTGAAATGATTACTCAATGATGTGAGTAAGTCTGGCCACTGGAGGGATAGGCTGGAAAGGGATCATTTACAGAGAGAGGATCAAATTGGTGAGCTTGTATATTGAAATTGATATTTTTCTTAATCTTTTTCGAGTGAGTGATTGAGTGATGCTATTTCAGCTATATTACACCTGTAAAATAATCAAGCAATACTAGTGGTTGATATGAGAAAACGAGTATTGTTTTTTCTAGCATAGGTTGTTGTTTAGATTTACATATATACATATATCTTGTCAATTGGTTCCAGCTTCTGTGTAGTTACAAAGGCATCTGTTTATTTTTCGACTGATTCTTAACGTTATATTGATGACTTTATCCATTGATGTTGTCATATAGAGATATGACGTCACGAGAGGTGGATACAATGAATTGACACCACAGCTAAAAGAACGCTGCGGCGCCGCTGCCATTCACTTTACTGTTAGTAAAACTTAATTCCCCTTTTGTTTGATTGTTCCCCCCTATTTTGAACGATTTGACATTTAGTCTGCTATCCTCGCCTGCTTAATCCTGGGTAAAAGCACTTGCCTTCACACTATGGTGTAGGCTTTATAAAGGTGAATGTCAAACAATGACTCATGATTCACACTAGAAGATCCACAGTTGACGTCAACGATGCCTAGATTGGTACCTGTGCAAAGTGGAATGACCCTTGCATTCTTGCATGCTGGTAACTCTGCAACAGTTAGGATATCACGTCTCCACTATCACAAGACTTGCAAACAAGGTCCGTTGCTGATCGACTACGTCCAGGCCGACCTGGGGTTGCAAACACCTGGACAAGGTCGCTTTATGAGGGTTACACATCTCAGGAACAGAACTCAAGCAGCAACAAGAGCTGTTGTTCAGGGCCAAGGGGAGCAGTAACAACAAACACGACGACGTCTCCACGCTGCTCAACTCCACTGTCGACGTCCGTATGTGGGAGCAATTTTGAGACAACAATACTGTCCGCGACGTTATTCAGGCTGACAGATAGGCTGGTGAAAGTCTGATCGTGTGGGGGAGATTACAGGTTAGGTCCCAGCAATAGATACCAGCTTCATGTCTTCCGTCAACGTGAGACTGCTGGCGTGTATGGGGAACGAGTTCTTCATCCTCATGTTTCTCCCATGTTTGTTTCACATCCTTAACTGCAGTTGTTCCAACAGGGCAAAGCACATTATCATCCGTTATGGTCGCCGACTAACACTAAGCTAACACTATCACTCGAAATAGGACGAAATCGAAATTGCAGAATTAGAACAGATAATAATATTTGAGTGGAACCACTTGTGTTGGACATATTTTCAACGCCTTTTGCCTTTTACACCCAATGGAATATGTTTCGTCGGATAATCGAGGATGGTTATTGTCTGGCTTTGACATTTACTAGAACTGGGTGGATGTTTCTGCTGGTGGACTGAGTGGCATTTATCAGTTATTATGCTGAGTTATTATGCGGAGACAACTTAAAAATGTTTGGACCGAGACATAAAAACTGCCCCCTATTGTGTTCCATAATTTGTTAAACAGCAGAATCACGTCATAGGTTACAACTGTCTGAACATCAAACGTCAATGCCAGAGACTAACCTTTCTCGATTATGAATCGAAGTATATCTAAATAGGTGGAAAATGTGAAAGAGCGTTGGGACTTCTATGGATGGATGACTGGAAATCAGTGATAACGCCAGGTGCTCGCGAAAAGGGTAAGCATGTCCTGCCCTACCGTTAGCACCTTTCACTTTATTCTCTTTACAACCGCCTCGGAGGTCTAGAGATAGAGCGTCCGCCCAGAGAGTTGAAGGTCCGGGTTTCGATGCCCGACCGCGTCATACCAAAACACGTTGAACGATGTGAAAGATGGTACTTGTTGTTACCCTGTCTGGCGCTCGTTATTAAGGGGCTAAAACAAGAACTGGTCGGCTCGGAGTCAGTATAAAGTGTCTGAGTGGGATATTCATGTTACACTGCAGCATGGCAACTCAGTGGGCTATCACTATAAATAGGCATCAGTCCGAACTAGTACAAGCACACACACACGCACACACACACACACACACACACACACACACACACACACACACACACACACACACACACACACACACACACACACACACACACACACACACACGCGTGAATGCACGTCGCTATATAAGTGCAATATTCTTGGACGCGACGTCAAACCCAATTTCACCTCCCCTAACCTATACTCTTTCCATAAAATGTTTCTGTTTGTTACCTGACACTACATAGAAATACTGTTGTCATGTGACGGCCGCATGTTAAAAAAAGACACATTCAAGTGATTTACCAGATTAGTCAGGGAATCATAGATTTTGTTGACACTATAGGTAAATTATGAATTATTTCTTCTGTGCATAAATTAAGTTATTCTGCTGTTTATAAGTAAATTCAAAAGCGTTAGAAAAATAGATTCGTAGTGCAACACAATGGGGGGCAGAGTGGTCTCTGTATTTTTATGTCTCAAAAGGATTCTTGCCATTCCTTCTGGGTGATTGGATCTGTTTTATGTGACGTTTGATACCTTTAAGAGACTTACCCGAATTCAACATTCCAAAACTGCATAGTGAACTTTGCAATTATCGCTCGATCTACCACAGAAGCATTAAATTAACACATTTCTCTTTAACGTTTACGTAGACCCTTGTTGTTATAATACTACTGACAATGTTCTATATGACATAATCAAAGTATCAAACAAGTTTATGATATTTTTAGTTGTTGTAAATAATGTATGATTTGTTGTTTCAATGTGACAGGTTTCAAGATGACACCTTCCAACACAGTCGCGGCCCTGACTCTACTCCTACTGACACAGTCACTCTGCGGTCAGTCCAACACATCTTTAGAGATCATTTGACGCTAATAATGAGTGATATATGATAGTCAATAGATGCTAAAGAACATTTTCAAATGACACTACAGTTCATCTGTTATGGTTAGTGGGTATTCTTTAACTTGTTTTGAGTATGATATATTTTTTGACGAATATTGTTATTAATGTATTTAAGAAATGGATTTCACGTTGTGCTGGCTAACTGGAATATGATGGATCTGAAGCGTCCAAAATATTAACGTGCACAGTTTAAAGCGTTCATACTCAAGTAAACCACCACAATGTGAAATTAATTTCTTATGAATTCGTATTTTGTATTTTAAGGGATGCCACTTTTACTGCCAAGCACATTTTAGATGATTTACGTTACCCGTTACACAGAAATGCAGTGATCCACTTCACCCTTACGCACAACAAAGTAGTTCCTATTCCATGACAGTAAATGGTATCTTCAAAATAGGAATTTCCATACAATTATTATTTCAAAATAACTCATTTGAGTATGTGTGTATAACAAACGAATCAATAGGTATTCCAGCCTTGTCTCAATTACTTTCATCACAGTTTCCACAGGATTCATCTGCCCAAATCTCAGCTATCTGGACTCGTCTGTACAGTTGATCTGTACAGGGGGGAGTATTTCACACAAGTACATAAACCCCAGAGGTGTAGATGTTGCTCAATGTCCACTGATAAAAGATAGGCCATGTACACCTGCAAACGCGTCGGCGTCTGTCATCAGTAGCACTCAGACTGTCTTCAACGTTATGGCTGTAACAACAAAAGATGCGGGAACATGGTCATGTGACTTTGGAGTTAATGAAGTTGTGACATGTAACTTGACAGTTGCAAGTAAGTATATTTTCAAAACTCACATTTAATTATCGTGTTTTCTATACGCTATCTAACTGTTAAAACAGAAAAAAGGTACAAGGTCAACTAATGTCCAATATGGTTTAAGTGTTGTGAATGTTGAATCTCCTAAGTATCCATAAGCATTCATAATTTACAAAATGGTCGTTTGGTAGGCAGAGGAATCTGCAGACAAAGCTAGTTAGGAATAACATTGTCTTTCTAAAGTATTAGGGTATTTGTCGGGTTTAAAGAGTGAAATATGTTGATAGTTTCACTGTTTTTGCTGCTGAAATGAGAGTCCAAAACTGTGTACTTACACACATTTTCAAAACTGATTGAAGCATCTGAAAAGTGTTTTTTAATGTTCAATACTGGGACTTATAGACATCAGTAGAATGACAAATAATGTTGTCTTAGCTAAGTCTGAAGTCGAAGTGATTCTGTGTCTGCTTCTTGTGGTAACACAGACTTGCCCTGGATATCCATGGAATCAAAGAATGGACATTGTCCCGTACCTATATCACTCCAAGCGCAACAACGCGAAAACATTTATAACATTGTCGTGTTGTCACATTTTCATACTTGGATTTGATTTGATTTTTTTCGCATTGTCGCCACATCTAAAATGTATGAAGAAAGGCATTATCGTGATGTGATCCTGTGTCCATATTAGGTCGAAGTGAGTCTGTGCATGCTTCTTGTGGTCAGAAGAGCCGGGAAACACATAATTGTCCTGAATATCTATGAAATCAAAGAAAGAATATTGTCGCGTTGTCGCAAACATGCAAGATGGTCCTACATTAACTGTGCTTGTATATTTATCTTAACCAAAGGTGAACATATGTCGGGTTGTCACATTGTCACCTCATCTTAATGTATGTAAAACGGGTGCTAGAATGCGCGACAACTAGACGCTGCGAGTCGCATCTTGTCATTAGTAAGACGTATGTGTACTATTCGAATGGTTGCAAAACTCTTATTTAAAACCAGAGTAACAAAGGGAATATGATTTGTTCACAGATGACAACACATATTTAAGTTTGAAAATATATTTCATTTACCGCTATTGTAGGTGTCGTTTTCTCATAAATCAACATGTTTTTACAGCAAGAAACAAACTCTTTCCATTGTTATTACATATAATTGCCGCCACCGTTTGAGATCGATGGGGAATACGTTTGATTCAGTTCTTTCAGGCGGCGGGATTCGCTGTGTAGAGTGTTGCGTCTCGTAGGCGCGCGCAAAAAAATATGATCTTGGGTTCAGCACCAAACGCATCACATCGGGTTTTACTCCTACGTCAAGCTACCACGTCATGAAAATATTGAAAGGATGTTTAACAGGCCCACTCATTGAAATCGATTGTCGTTTTTCCGCATCCGCGATTCCTCCAGATTAAGTGTCATGACTTGTCAGTATGTGGACTTCACTAAAGTGGCAAAGTTCCAGATTCCCCGCATGTGTGGGATGCATTTGACTGAATTTGAACCGACTTTTAAAACCTGAAATAGGCTGAATTGAATTTTGAGTTTATAACTTGACACATGTATCTCTAGAATAACAGCAACATCTGCTTGTCGTGAGAGGCGACCAAATGGATTGGGTGGTCGGGCTCTATGACTTCAGTGAATGCTTCTCTTCGTACCTCAAATGGATAGATCGATGCTCATGATGTCAATCGCTGGATTGTCTGGCCTAGACTCGATTATTTACAGACAACCGCTGAGTGCGGCGTCATACCAAAAACAAACAAACCTAGTTCAGTTATTTGCTTTGAACATGGATCCGTAATGCTGTGTGTGAACTCTTGATATACACACACCAAAGCGATCATTCAGTAATTTTAGCCTCAAAACCTAAACCTCGTAACCACCATATATCAGTCGGCATTTTCTGTAAAGACATTTCAATCAAAACTTTCTCATTTCAAATTGCCAGTTTTCATTTTTTTTTAATTGTGTTATCATTCCTGTATGTAATGTTTCAGAGACACCAAGTTGCAGCATCACCAGTAAGGAAGACACTGATGTACTTGCCCAGTATCAGGAGCTGACTCTCACAGTGGACATACAAAACTATTACTGTTCCACAGCCCTAACCTTCTCACTCCAGACCGGGAATGTGACAACACTGCTGATTGAAGCTGACTCTGTAGCAAGTGTTACTCACAACACTTCTTCAGTAACCCTGAATGTGATGGACTCCCACCTGGGGATTGTAAGACTGATATTCAACTGTCACAACAGTCAATGGAATCTAACCTGTGATGGTGTGATTGAACTCAGTGAGACTTTTACGTTATTTCAAAGAAACAAAGAACCTGATTAGTAGGCTTAAATTGGTACAGGTCAACACCACTCTTACAGTTATTGTGCAATGTAATGAATTGATGACGCCTATTTTATAACATGTTAACATCCCAGTCCTCATTTCCATTTGTTTAGAAGATACGTTGAAATCAGTTTATTTAAAGACATGTGTCTTGTTAATAAAAGTCTATATCTCCTTATAAAAAAAACCAACAATTGAGAAATAGTCCTCGATGCACACCAATAAAATTTGTGTAGCTCATAAATAGAATATATCAACGTATTCATTTCTTACATCTACCTTTAAGTTTCTAACAGGTAGCTACATCTGTTTCAGAGACTCCAACCTGCAGCATAACCAGTGACAAGGACAATGACAGACTTGCCCTGAATGAAGAGCTGACTCTCTCAGTGAACATTATTGGCTACAACTGTCCTGTAGTATCCAACTTCACTCTACAGACAGGGAACGTCCAACAATTACTGAATGTCAGTGGTGCCGGGGCTGTCATTGATCGTGCAACACAAACCTTTCATGTGACCAAAACACACCTGGGTGGTGTTAGGCTGATGTTCAACTGTCAACAGACACACTGGAATCTGACCTGCGCTGGCATAACGAAACTCCGTAAGCATCCATTAAGAGTCTTAAACGTAACAAAACTCAGGGGCTGACAAAATTGAGAATGACTACCGTATCGGTTCGTCGGAGGTTTTTGGAAATATATTCGTCGATCATTTTAATTGGATATTATCGTCGGGAATATTACCTCATGACTCTCTGGCTCTGAACGTCCTATCTACGCAAATTGATATCATACATAACTTTACGTAATCAGGTGTTATGTTTAGTAGAAACAGAAATTTCAAGCCAGCAATAAAATGTTTAGCAGAGATTGCATCTAAAGCCATGTTCTGTCTTCTAAATAAATCGATAAATTATATCTTTGATAATAATATTTATTATTATCATGCTAAGAAACCGTTTCTCCTGTACCACCACGTTTGTTTGTTGTTGAACGCCCACCCAGCAACATTCCAGTTATATCGCGACAGTCTGTAAATACTCGTATATGGACCCAACAGTTAAGTGATTGACAACATCGATCAACACAACTGGAAATAGGATGGCACACACCAATCAAGTCAGTGAGCCTGATCAGTGGCCACTCACAACACGAATGGGTTCCTAAAGAGCAATTCGAAACCGCATCTTCACTGGGATAGTTTGATTTCAATCCATGTCAAAATATCAATGGTTATACGACAGGGACACATCATTAAAACACGAAGGGTACGTTGTTTCCATCAGTATATTGTCAATGTCTACTTTTGTGTTCCGGTAAACACTACTGTTGTGCGTGCACTCGCATATTGTGTATATATTCGTTGTTGATACTATAATAGAGCTACCAGTTCAATCCATACAAAATACGCAACATGCATAAGGTGGACATATGCCCCAATTCCTGCATATGCGGCGGCGGCTGTGTCGCGGTGATTTATACCCTGTACACAAGACACATTCTCGTAGTGTAGAAAGCGATTAAGGGCATTGTAATGTGACGTTTAACAGTCGCCAAATCTTGGGAGTTTCATTTTCCATGTGAACATTCTGTTACAGTCATTATAAGCCGATAGTATGCCCATGCTGTTTGGCTTTGTGTCTGTTTTTCTCCAATGCAACTTCTGTATTGTTATTTAAGCAAGGGTATCTAACTATGACTTAAACGCCTTTTTAACATTGCAGAAAACGTTGGACTAGCCACAGCCTCCACTATAATTATGGTTGCCTGCATTGTGGGTGCGATAGTGTTTCTCATCATCGTCGTCATCATCATCGTGTTTCTCGTCAAAAGAAAACAGGTAACTCGAATAAAACCACAACCATCAGTTAAGCCTCCTTCCCCTCCTTTTCCTTCCGTGGAGCTGAATGATCTTCCAAATGGATCAAAGAACATAAGTGTAATAAATGCAGGAGGTTATGCATGTCCTTGGGATGTCGTCAACAGATCAAGTTCGCGAACGGAGGATGAATCACTCGACTTATCGTTAGTTAATAACGGGAGAGTGGTTAAAGTGTTCGTTTCGTCTTGTGAAGTTCATGCCTAAAACCAGTGTAAATGGAAATTAACTGATTCATTCACTCAACCGTGTCACTTCATCTATGTTTCAACGTACCAGTAAGCAGGTTGATAGACATGCAAACAGTTCTCAAACTCTTCCCACACTATGTTATCTTAGATGGAGATTGATCAAAATGTTTATTACATTTATTCAGCAACTACTCAAAAGCTGTAACCATCGCACTCATTAAAATACTTCAGTCCTGAATGTAACTTAGTACGATTATTGCTCAATGTACAATTAGCAATACCGATCCAAATATGGAAGAAGAAAAAAAGAATAATGTTTTCATAACATCAATAATTTACCTGTGGGGAATCACCATAATGCGTTGTAGGTAGGAGAGGTGTTTGTCTATAAAATGCGGAGCTGAACACATAAAAACCAGGATTGGTCGGCTCGGAGTCAGTATGCTTTGTCTTCGTTGGGTATTCATGTAAACTGCGGCATGGTATCGGTATTCGGTGTGACGTGACCGGTGATCCGCGACCTTCCGCTCTCCGGGCCGACGCTCCATCCACTACATCACCGAGGCGGTCTTGTTGTGTGAGGAGGAACCAAACAATTCAAAAAAAATTCACGACAAAAATAAGTTTGTTTGTTTTTTCATTCTATTTTCCGGAGCAAATAATGTGTATCAAAACCGCCCCTAAAGAGAGACATTATTATTTCCACATATTGATATCAGGAGCTCTCCTTGTGTAGTCTCGGTAGAATAGCCTCGCGGCAATCTACAGCTTGTCTATAGAGTCGGTGGTCAGCTTCTTGGGCTGATCTTATTATGTACCTCGATGATGTGGGACGATGTCCATTTTTTCTGTATCGGGTTGGCTTGACCAATACTTGATTATTTTACCTCCGTGGTGTTGCTGTAATATTACTGAATGTGGCGTAAAATAGGAAATACTCAAAACATATTGCTGTTTACCAATGGAGAGAAGAGAGCACACACGCATATGAGTGGAAGGGTGCATGTTAACAAGCCCACTCAACGCCGTCACTTGCGTGTTGTACATCTCGGAAACAGTTTCATTCCCCGACGACATCTGCATCGACGAGTCTCGGACATCGTTGCAGTCAACAGTGTCTTCCCCTACGCTGACGTTGGCAGTTTTGGGACTTGGGAGGATGCTTATTTTCTGATTGAGGGCAGATTTGCAGTGATCTTAGTGACAGGCACATTTTAAGGCTAGTCTAGCGTCCTGACTTTGAGCGCTCTCTCCTTTGTGAATGCCAACGGAGACCCGCGACGACGTATTGTGCCGTGCATTGATGCAGGATGTGGACATAAGCGCTGATATGTATTTTATTTAATCCAAAGTATACTGCCTTTGCAGAGACTTTACAAACTGTCAGTGGACCTTGTGGCTTGTCACATTTGCCCTACCTGTGTCTTGGGTCACTGTCACTTGTAGTGTTTTGGCGGTTTTTTGTGTTGTTTTTTTTGCAACACGAAAAAACACCACTGTTATTAATATGTTTCTGTCTTTTGAGCATGCAGCATGTTTAGGATGTTCATCAATGGTTAATCAAGGTAATGGTATAGTTAATTGTGGACGTCAGTGTGTATAGAGTCTGTAATCCAATGCTTTCTCTGTTCGAGATGATTAATGTTTCCCTGCCTTTCACATACCTTATCTCTAAAATGCGCATTCTACTTGTTTTGGTTATCGACTGCAGGTTCTTTGCTATTTTAAATATTTAAATTAGGATCATATCTAAATTCGTTTGTTCTTAGGGTAACTAATAAAAAAGGAATATCAGTGTAGGTAGAACACACCTGGAATGTTATGGGGTATAATATTTACAATCTTCAACATCAGTTGTTGGTCGAAAGTGTAAATGCTGTCGGGTTTAAAGAATCGATATGTGCAAGTTTAGGTTCCAGTTATGGAGGTTGGTCGAAAACAGCCTGATAGGATGCAGGTTCTCTTAGCTATGGATCTGCATTTCCTCCAGGTACGATAACATGTTATATCCTGCTCATAGCTTCCGGCTAACTTGGTTTTGCCATGTAAATATATTTTTTTTCTGTTGTGTACAGACGTACACATGTACATGTGTGTAAAATGTTAAATAGTGGAGTTATTTTTGGAAACTGAAACCCCTTTGGAATTCAGCTTTAAAGTTGGTTCCAAACAACCTATATTAGAGGAAGGAGGCTCCTTTTTGAATCCAGTGGTCATGCTCGTTGACTATTAGTTGATTATTAACCTCGAAGGTGTGGATTGTCAAATCGTATGTCGGTCACTGAACTATCCATTCCAGACTTCTAACTTGTGTTTGTTTGTTGTTTAATGGCACAATTAGTAATATTCCAGCTATATGACGGTGGTCTGTAAAAAGGCCAGCCTGCCCAGACAATCCAGTGATTGATACCATGAGCATCGATCTACGCAATTGTGATACTATGACATGCATCAACCACGTCAGGGAGCCTGACCACCCGATCCCGTTAGTCGCCTCTTACTACAAGCATTGTCGCCTTTTACGGCAAGCATAGGTTGCTGAAGACCTATTTTAACCCTAATCGTCACGGGTCCGATAACAAGTAGGCGGCTGTCTTGTTGCTGGAATGTTGCTGAGTGCGGCGTTAAACTTATCGTACAAAAACAAATATGAGATATTGAATGAAACAAGACAAGCGACACTGCACTTCACTTCTTTCATTTATTTTTTATTCACTTTTTTATATCGCACTTTTCGTTAAACTTTAATGGATACATTAGAAGGTAAATCTATGTTTAGAAGATGACACCGTCTCCGTGGTCTAGTAGATATAGCGTCTGCTCGGAAACCGTAAGGGCGGTAGTTCGATCTATAAAAGGTGGAACATGCAGTTACCCTGCCTAGCGCTCAGCGTTATGGGGATAAATCAAGGACTGTTCAACCACATTTCCCCTCACCTCCCCTTTTTCTAAGTTTATATTTTATCTTTTTTTCGGACACATGCACATATTGCATATAACATGACCCATAATTACATCATATAGCGGATTAAAGGTAAAACAAATTGCAATGAATATAGTTGATCGGTCAACATTGTAAGTGATTATTTATCAGGAATATTAAGTTTTAAATCAGGACTGATAATATGTAAAGTTATTTTCACGCATGGAATGCAATGTTACTTGACAAGTGTGAAGAAATCAATAATTGGACGTTGTTATATTCTGTGTTTAAAATGTTGAAATAATTATGTATCCTTCAAGCGGTCATAGACAGAATTAAGACTGAAACAATAGAATCATACAAATAATATGTCGTATTAGAACAGAAGTATCTAATGCTGGGGTTGGGAATGGCAGCTGAGTGAGTGTATTTCTATAGGAGGGATTGGGTGTCTTCTTTGCCAAGTATGATGTTTAATCCAATGAGGCGGTTTGTACTCGTATGTCTATGCTGAGGATGATACCAGGGTTGAATTTATTGCTTGCCACCACTTACCCTCGAGTACAATATGGATTTCTTATATTATTATAGACATGTAGTATACCATCACTACATTTATAATCACTTTTGTTTTGTTCTATACACATTTTTTCTTCAAATGCACATGATGATACAACATTGTGTTCACGTCAGCTTACGGGTTTACAATCATTGTGAACATGCTAGATGGTTTTATTCCTGCAACATAATATCAATTGAAAAACGAATTCTCGTTTCTACTATGCCTCATAAATTCGGATACTATTTCCCCGATCAACCCAGGTATTCTTAAGACGTTGAATGTTGTGTGGAACTGAATTATGTTTTTTGTTTTTTAGGATATGATGCACTTTGTTAAAGAGATAATCATATGCACGGAACTGAATTGATCATTTCTTAAACACATAATGTTGCATTATGAATCTAAGCAAACTTCCTCATCAAAATAACTGTATCAAAATGCATTACTATATTGTTTCTTCAAATGTTTAGCATAAAAATGTGTTGATATCAATAAATTGTACATGATTTTGCAAATGTCATATTTACTTTTTTTATCAGAAAATTATAAATTGATATTCTTTGGTTTTATGTCTCACTCCCTCTTTGGAGTTAACGTGGATAAAATGTTCTCACTTCGGGTGTATGAGTATCGATGAAGTATGTAAATGGCATGGGAAAGAGTTCAAGTAATTTTAAGACCGTGTTCGGTGAACTTCCTCGTTCACGCTATAGCAGCTCACACATAGAGATAACGAAACATGTATTATACACGCAGGATAAAGGACACATCAATATGAATACATTTTTGCCACACCTTTGCTTTGATTCTATGACAATTGTTTAATAAATAGAGCTGACTTTCCTCGTAAGCTTGTGCTGTTGTTACTAATATCACGGACAAATAGTGTTATCTGAACGTTATTGTAGTACTCTATTGAAAAGGTCAACATTATTGATGTACTTCCTGTTAAATATACAGTTCATGTTGATCTGACGTTAACAATGTTCAGTTCTAGTGATACTTTTGCATGCATGAGTAGGACGGCAATTGTTAAAGTTACAGTTTTGAACAAATTCTACTTTGTGCCTTCAGATTAGAGTTAAGCATACATGTATAAGTTGTTCTATCCGTTAGGTCAATTGGTCAGTTCAGACTAATACAACTACGAACTTGATTTCATTTGTAACAAAATATATTGATTTTGTGTTTGGAATTGTGGAAGTATGTAGCAGCTCATTGAGAAGTGTGTTTGTTTATGTTTACCTACTTTAGGGACTTTACATTGTGACTTGTCTACACAAACACTGGACTCAAAACACACCTGATTAATAGTTAGACTAGATGAATATTGTTTGTTGTATTAATCTATTGCACTCATGTGCCAAAAGTGCCAAGATACTATGGTTTCCCAATAAAGATTAATTCATTGAGGATTCAGGGATAAAATATAGTTTCCAAACAAACTATGCTGGTTGTAATCGGCTGACTATGTGTCTTGGTTTTCTTGGCTTAGTACGGACATTACCCCCCTTTGACGAAACATCCTGTAACGTAAAATCGATTTCATACAAAGACAAACCATTTGTTGTTTTGTTTCTTTCATGAATTGTGAGCTAATTTATACAAACATTCGTTGACACGTTTTGAAGATATATTGCATGTAGTTGAAAACATGCCTCACGTTCCGTGTGTCACGCAATTATAACCACACCTGTCACATGAATGATAAATTTTCAGTTGACAAAATACTTCCCCGAGTATCATTGTGAAATGGTTACACCTAACAATGCAATGTCATACAACAACTACGTAACATTGTAAATATCATAGGAAGCTTACTGTACATTCAATGATAACATTTACGACCCTGATAGTGATATCACATCATTGTAGTAGCGTTGCAAGA